ATATTGATTTGCGGAAGATACTCCTCGTTTTATCGGAAGCTTCTCCGTGCAACGCCCAAAACCTTTTTGGCCCCATAACTCCTAATCCAGTGCAGCCCAGTCGCCTTCGTCAACTTGTGCCACTTGACATTGGCCACCCGGAGAAGGAATTCTGCAAACCTTGTAAACGATTCTGTTTCAATGCCCCAGTAGAAACCTCAAATCCACCTTGTGATCTCCATCTAAGTATGCCCACGAGTACACTGATCTCTGCCTTGAGCCCCTTCTTGCGGGTTGTTCTCAAAATTATGGGCCCTTTTGGCTACAGATCATAGCACGGCACCTAGTATTTAGGGGTAGCAAAATTGGACCCTAGTTTTGGGAACTACCCATGTTTGGGCTGCCGTAACTGAATCAACGGGCACTGTCAGGAAAGCTAAGCGGAGTGCTCCTGGGCTCTAGCTCTTGGCCTCCAAAGCTCTGATTTTTGGCCACACCCTGCAATGTCTTCGGGATGTCCCAAAATTAGGGGTACCTTTTTGGGGGTCCCTGTGATAAGGATTCTAATATTTAGGAGTGTACTTTGGGGTCCGCAAATTGCCATTTACGTGCTGCCAGCTTTTGTCGCTCTAGGTGTAATGTGGTTCGACTCCTTTGGAGGGGCACCTTCATCCCTGTGACTGCTGACATTGTTGACATGCAAGGAAAAAATCACAGCCCAAAAACGATGACGATGGCGACCCAGCCTGCCTGATCCCTGTGACTGTTGGCACTTTCAACACACGGTGAAGATGTGAGAGCCCAAAAATTAATGGAATAGCGGGGGGGTTGGGGGGGCGTGCAGCCCCCCCTTTTTGCAAATCATTGACGAGGATTAACCGTCTCAGGAAGCACATGTTGCCTGTGAGGTTTTGGTGGATAGCGGCTAGTCTTTTTCTACAGCAGCTTGGGTTTGGGGTGGGAACCCTCATTTGCAAATAAAAAGACGAAGACGAACCCATGTAAAGATTCATCTGGACGGTCCGGATGTACTAGATCGTGCTTGGAGTTGCTAGGCACAAGCTTGGCTGCACTACAACAACGAAGGTGCTTGACAATTTCAAGCACACTGAAGACACACCATTTGCTTGCGAAGTTTTGCTGGGTCGTGATTTTTAAGTTTAGCGGCATGCGTTTTACAAGGCAGCCTGGTCATTGGAAGGCAACCCACATTGGCAAAACATTGCCGAAGATGAACCTATCTTAAGATTCCAGGAGCAAGGGACCAGAGGACCCGGAACACCAGGAGACCGGAGAACCACAGAACCAGAGGACCACAAGAGACTAATGGATCAGGACCAGGGGCCCCATGGAGCCACTCCTACGAAAACAACCCTTGGCCCCTAGCAGCCGGGAATGGACCCCTACAGCGGGTTGTCCTCATCTTCTCCAACAAGAAGCCCGAAAACGGATTTCTTGATGCCTCGACCATCCATGACTAAGGTAGGAGCAGATCTGACCAAGACCTGGCTGCTGTAGAGATGCTGGTATCTGGCCAACTGCTGCCGGCAGAGGACCTCAGACAGGCACTGCCATGACCACTGCTGACTGAGTCATGACATGAACAAAAGCAGCTTGCATCAACAGTAGCAGTTGCAGTCGCCGCAGCAGTGGGAGGAAGTGGCAGCGGGGGGCGGCACAAGTACTGCTGGTGGTGCTGGTGGTGCTGGTGGTGCTGGTGGTGCTGGTGGTGCTGGTGGTGCTGGTGGTGCTGGTGGTGCTGGTGTTGGTGGTG